AGCATGGTATCATAAATACTTGAAACTGTGTCCACTTTTCAATGAGTTGTCTTAGTTACAAATTCCGCTTGTTCTTGTAGTATTTGATGATGTAGGAATTCTTCAGGATCACTATCTACTTGATCTAAAGAAAGGTGTTATTCTAGGTTTTGCTGGAATTCGTGGATTTTTGTGGGGTTAAGGGACGTGATATTTATTCGGGATCTTTTTTAAGTACTTTAAAATGAAGTCTGATAATAATACTAGAAGTTGATGCATATGTATCCTCTTATCTTTTGGTGGCCTAGGCTTTCCATCTGAATTTTATTAGGATAGTGTAATCTATTTGATTACTTGTTCGTCCATCTGGGCGGCGCCATGTATACAATCTACGTAGACATCCAAATTTCATAACAAATCTAAACCCAGACAATATATTAAGATAGTAATAGTACCCCTGACCCAGTAAGCTTAATAAAAACTTATACGGATGATCTAGATAAGCTACTGAAACCGTTAAATCAACTACATGAAAATTTATCAATATTATTCTGAACCCATTTAATTCAATTACTATTTTTATGGGAATAAGCCACAATATAAGTTAAAAATAAGTTTATTTTTGACGTTTCGACTCCCACTTCGGAAATCGTTATAAAAAATATATATTGTGGCATATTCCCATAAAACTACTAATTAAAATTTATCAAATATGAAAACAAAAAATAGATACACTAGATTTCGAAACAATATACTTGAATCCATACAATCAGAATTCTGACGATTGAAACGTTAGTGAACAAACCTCTAAGTATTATTATTATCTAGTACAGTTTAGCTAAATTTGTCCGCTTTCTAGGACACCTGACTGCATGGCATAGATAACTACATGATAATTACAAGTGTTGTGACATCATGCTTAACACACCTGCAAACTACATATAGTGTGACCACTTTGCACACCTGCAAACTTCTTATACTGTGACCACTATTTCACACATGCAAATAATTGTACTAGTGACATCGATGTCACAAGTCCGGTTAGTACACAAATTAATAACTCTGGAACCACGGGGTGTATCAATTTAAAACTTAGCGCGTAGGCATCAGGGAATTTTTCTTATCATCTTGCATTACCCTATGTTCATGTGTCCATTTGTCATGATATTTCACAGATGCCACAGTAAATACACGAACGTGTATGTGTGTGTGTGTGTGTGTGTGTGTGTGTGTGTGTGTGTGTGTGAGCTAACTCTCTCTCTCTCTCTCTCTCTCTCTCTCTCTCTCTCTCTCTCTCTCTCTCTCTCTCTCTCTCTCTCTTGTCGTTTCCTCATTGCTGAGGATCGTGATTCCCTACAATGCGGGCTGTCAATTCTCTCCATCTCTTGCGATTTTGGGCTGCTCTCATGGACTCGGAAAACGTCTCTCCAGTGGCTTTCTGTACTTGATCTGACCATCGGATAGGTGAGCGTCCTCGGCCTCTACGTCCTTATACGTTTCCGCACACAATTAGTCTTTCTAAGTTGTCATTGTCTCTTCTCGCAATGTGGCCAAAAAACTTTAAAACATTTGCAAGATACTGAGAGGAGAGTCTGGTCTGAATGTTTAGCTCTTCGAGAATCGACTGACTGGATCTGTGCTCCGTCCACGAGACGCGTAGCATTCGTCTCCAGCACCACATTTCGAATGCGTCAATCCTTTTCCTATCCTCTGATTTTATTGTCCATGTTTCGGCACCGTAACTAAAGATTAAAAAAACGAGTGTCCGTACCAGTCTCATTTTGAGTTTTTTGGACAAAGAGCGGTCCTTCCATATTTTTGACAGTCGACTCATCGCGTTCTTGGCCATTTCTATTCTTCTGCGAATTTCCGTATGGCAGGAGGCTGCATTGCTTAAGGAAGATCCTAGATACGTGAACTCGTCTACTTTCTCGAATTGATTTAGGGCGCCTGTTGTTTGGAGGATATTCGCGTGGTCCACAATCATGATTTTTGTTTTCTGATTATTAATCTTGAGCCCACACTTGTTGCTTTCGGTTTCTACTCTCTTTATCAGTCTCGACATCTCCTCTTTAGATGTTGCTATCAGTGTTGTATCGTCTGCGAATCTTAAGTTTGAGATCTTTTTCCCTGCTGTAGCGTTTACGCTACTGACTAGTCCAATTTAAACCCCTCAAGAAATTTTTATTACCCGCCTACGATCGATTTTATATCGACATTTTCCCCCACACGCGCTGTTATCGCTTTGAAAGGAAGATCGATTTTGTGCGGAAGCGAAGCGAGTAGTTTTTGGTCAGAACTCGTTAAGGCAGCCACGCCAACCAGTGAAATTGTTCACCTTAAGTGACGGAATTGGAGCAAGGAAGATAATTTGGGGAAGAATATAATTCATTAATAATAATAGTAATAATTAATTTTAAATAACAAGTATTCATTTATAAGAGTTCCATATAAAAAGGAAGAGTTGGCGTGCTGCGAGCTCCATGTAAGTAAATCATTTTATACGTATTATCTCTTTATCATATAATCAAATTTATCATTGTATTTAGTATTTCTTTAGAGATTTATTTTTGAGTTCCGAAATAATTTAAATATAAAATTTCCTTGATTTACTTACAAAGAACATAAGGTCATTTTTTTTATATAGTCAAACTAAAGTCCGATCTAGTCCATATCTTATCATTAAGTTTTTTTGGTTTTTTTTTTACCTAACTTTTTTGGTGGAATATAAAAGGTTCTACAAATGTGGACAGCCTTCTATATTCTGCGCATGTTCTTTTCATGGCGCAAGCTTGCCATGCCTACGAAAGTAACTTCATAAATTTGACATGATGTTGACTTAACCTAATACCTGATATTTTGATGTTTTGTTTTGGTGCAGCCAATCCATGCTGCTACACCTATTAAATTACATTTATATTACATATTTATTAAATTAAATAATCATTTTAGATTCCGTCACGTGAAAATATTATTTTCACTTTACTTGAGGATATTCTCTTGAGAATATTCCCTCAAGGATACTAGTAACAGAATCCTTAGATACATAGTTAGCAAACCCGTGGATTTTGCTGTCACCCAGAGGCCAGTGACTGGTTGTGGCTTTTGTGACCAGGATTCGTCTTTACAGCCACAAACTGATGTAGCCGTGCCAAGAGGAGTTTTTCCTATGGACTTATAGTGCTGTAAAGATAAGTCGTTTAACTATTTGACCTTTTGTATTACGTATTACTTTATATTTACTGTTAACTGATCATATGCATATGATAAGGTGAATACCTTTATGATAATTTTTTTTTTGATAATTTAATTATAAAATATTCGGGAGGAAAAGGGGACACTTCATGTGTTATTAGGTTTTAACTAGGATTTAGAGAGTCTGACCAAACTCACTTTTTTTTGGATATAATATTTTTGTTAATATAATACAATTTGATATTAAGAGGGACATAAATTTAATGTGGTTTGTTTTTAAATATTATATAATGAGTATGGAACAACTCATTTTTTGGATGTAATATATATATTTAATATAATTGTAATAGAGATTTATCAAGTTTGATATCTTTACAATATTGTCATTAGTACCTCATTTTAGTAGAACTAATTTAAATTTAAATGACTACCTTTTTGTTTTAAGACTTTGGCTACCCTACGGACTATTCTTGTTGTATACTAATATTTCATATTTTATTTGGCCAGTGGTAGTGACTATTCATTTGTTGAGGGGCTATTAGGTCCTATTGTATCTGTACACCATCCACTACCACTGTTATTTGGCTTTGCATTATATGTAAATTGTTTATACACATATACTTATATACATTTGTTTATAAATATATTTATTGTTGCTATTTTGAGTTTTATTTCAGTTCTACTAACCAGTATATAACATAGCAAAACAAGATTAATATTTAGTATTTTTGTATTTCAGAGTATTACCTCCAGATTCATTTGTTACTTCAAAATCTCAACTATCGTTGAGTTGGCGCCCTTCTTTTCTCTTCTTATTGTTCTCTTTCTATAAATTTATTCCCAGTGACCTTCTTTAGTTGTATCACGTTTGATATTACCAGGTCTCATTTCGTTTCTTGTCTCATTAGCTCAGTATCCTTGCTATCTGTTTAAATCTTTAAAGCCACAATCCAGTGCATTGAAGCTAGCCCGAACACTCACTTGAGATTTAGTGTCTCTTTGGCCATTTAAATTTGTTCCTCTGAGCTTAGCCCTATTTTTAGTATTTTTTTTTTCATCACTTCTCTTTCAGTTCTTCTGAACTTTGTCAATTCACACATTTTAATTCGTTTCACTGCAATGGAGATGCCGCCTCTCCATCCATCGAGTGCGTTCCTCATTATGTATTCTCCATATAAATTAAACAGGTCTGGAGATAGTATGCAGCCTTGTCGTACACCTCTGCTGGTTTTGAAGGTAGAGTGAGCTAACTAATAATTTATTAATACAGTTCGAAAACAGATAACTGATTATTGACTTACATAAAGGTCCTTTTTAATTACACTTTGCACTATGTTGTATGCAGATTACACTCGAAACCACACAAGATTGGAATTTAATTTCGGAGCGACACTACACACGTCCAACCAGTACGATTGCCAGAACCAGCCTCCACTACTAACACAATCAAAGAGTGCAAATTATAATATCTTGGCCATGTTATGAGAAATAAACACAGATATGGCTTATTGCAACTCTTTCTTCAGAGCAAGGTATTTGGAGAGAGAGGACCAGGAAGAAGAAGAATATCTTGGCTTCAAATTCTAAGAAAGTGGTTCAATACGTCTACAACAGGACTATTCTAAATGGCTGCAAGTAAAGTTAGGATAACTATGCTTATCGCCAACATCCGGAACGAATAGGTACCGTAAAAAGAAGAATCAGCATAAATTCGTCAATACTAGAATTACAAGAAGGACCAATGTAGTTTGTAAATGGATACATAAGACGCTGGTATGCAGAATATGTATTCAGCCAATAAGCTGTAATACAAATAAAATACTTACTTGCTGCCTCAAGACGTTTTAAGCTCCTTCCTGCAGGTAAGTACACTTTTCTCATTAGAAAAGCTAACGCAAAAATCAAAGCGATGATGACAGCACCAGAAGGGTTAACTAATGTAACCAAGAAAACTATTCCACCGACGTTAAATATAGTCTAAAACAAAAATTTTATATTTTAAATAAACCCACTTAATAACCCCTTGCTGAAATTACACTGCTGTTGAATCGTGTGACCACTTTGACAAATTATAAAGAAGTTTTTAAATACAACCATAAGTAACAATAAAACACTGAAAACTTTATTCTCAAACTTCCACAAAATTTATTTTAAATATTATCACTACAGCTGTTTCGGCTGATTGCCTTTCTCAAGTGATCTATTTTGGCTTGGGTTTACAAATTTATAGTCTATAATGAAATAGGTTGAGGAGGGGAGAACAAAACAAAGAGAATAAAACAGCAATTTCAATTAAAAATAAATCAATAGAAAATAACATTGTGTTTACAAAAGCAGACAAAGGTAACACTACTATTGCTATAGATAAAATAGAATATAATAACAAAACAATAGAATTCTTAAATAATCAAAATATTGAAACTTTACACAAAGATCCGACAGAAAAATATCAAAAACAAATTAAGCTAGCGTTAGAAAACTCAAAATCAATACTAACTCCAATAGAACAGAAATACATTAATTAATACATTAATACACAGCCTATTAAATTATATTCTTTCATTAAACTACACAAACCGGATCACCCAATAAGACCTGTAGTTTCTTTTTATACAGATCCGTCATATAAAATTTCAAAAAAAACTGTTAGAGATTATTTTAGACCACACTAAATTTTCACCTAAATTTACCATAAAAAATACAATAGGACTAGTTAATAAAATACAACATTTTCAATTACCTAACAATTCCAGATTAATTTCATTTGACGTAAAAAATCTATTTCCTAGTATCCCTCCTACAGAAACTTTTATTCTAGTAAAAAACCTTTTAGACCAAAATCGTACAAATCCAATAATTACATCTGAAATTTTACATCTTCTTGAAGTTTGCATAAACCAGGATTACTTTGAATTTAATAATAAAATTTATACAAATAACAGTGCAGGACTTATAATGGGTAATCCTCTAAGCCCATTGCTATCAGATATTTTTATGGATCATCTAGAGACAAAGATTTCAAAACATCCCGTATTCAAACAGTTTTTATATTGGTGGAGATACGTAGACGACGTACTGGTATGTTTCACAGGAACAAACAGGCAACTGGACCAATTTTTATCATATATTAATTCACTTCATAGTCATATTAAATTTACAATAGAAACAGAACAAAATCAATCCATAAATTTTTTAGATTTAAAAATTAGCAGACTTCAAAACAAACATGACATCTCCATATTTCATAAACCTACCCATACTGACACGACTATACACAATTCGTCATCCCATCCAACACAACATAAACTGGCAGCTTATCATAGTATGTTACATAGATTAACAGAAATTCCGATGTCAAAATACAACTTTGAGACAGAATTAAATATAATTAAGCAGATAGCAGTAAACAACGGATACAACGAACAAACAATTAATAAAATGTTAAATCAAAAACTACACAAGAAAGCCCTGAAATTAGTATTTCCACCACCAGAGAAAAAACTCAGTACCTTCTGCTCGATTACATATTCAGGAAAAACAACAACAAAAATTGCCAATCACATAAAAAAGAAAGGAATAACACCAGCTTTCCGAACAAATAACAACCTAGGCAAATATATTAAAAATAACAAGAGCCAAAATAAAAAACACTTAAATAGTGGTGTGTACAAACTTGAATGTGGCGACTGTCCAAAAACTTACATCGGTCAAACTGGTAGAAACTTTGATAAACGAATAGCAGAACATAAAGGGGCTTTCAAGAATAGAAAAACAGATTCGACATACGCACTTCACCTTCTAGATCATAATCATTCTTTTAATGACAAATTTAAAATTCTTCACATTCAAAATAAAGGCCTTAAGCTATCTTTGTTAGAATCTATGGAAATCAACAAATTAAAAAACACAGATATAATTCTGAATGACCAACTTGAGACAAACAGTTCTCCCCTCCTCAACCTATTTCATTAGAGACTATAAATTTGTAAACCCAAGCCAAAATAGTTCACTTGAGAAAGGCAATTAGCCGAAACAGCTGTAGTGATAATATTTAAAATAAATTTTGTGGAAGTTTGAAAACAAAGTTTTCAGTGTTTTATTGTTACATAAAATGAATTTCCATCAAGTAACGGTCGAATCCATCAATTACAACCATAAGTATTTATTGCCACTGAAATTCCAAGAAGAAGCATTTTACTCAAGATAATTTGAAGATAATCGCTAAAATGTTTTCTTCAGATATTTGTTATGCGTACTTTTAAAGTAGTATACAGGGTCGCATAAAAGTTACTGCTTTCTGAATTAAATGGAATTTTTTTTGTAATTCTTTAGTAAGTAAAAAATGTGTTAATCTTTACATTCCTTTTTTCTTTAACTTTTGTTACATTTATCTATAAGTAAGTGTAACACTAGCTTCGGTCAAATGAGGTTTGCACAATTTTACAACATTTAAGCATTTGTCAGTGCTTAGCTTTGTTCTGCATTACACAGGAAGTTCTATAAGTCACATATCATTTGTCCATATCAGATCATAATTTAATTTGACTTCACGTCCGTCAATTACACGTAATCACAGCCAAAAAAATGTAAAAGAACACTAGTTGTATATTAATATGTACTTCATAGTAATAATTTACTTGTAAATTTAGATTTACAGGACTCACGCTATATTTACTATTAAAATAGCCTTGGACATGGTAGACTTCTTGTATGTAATACCATTGGAAATGTGAGGTTGTTAAAAAAACGTTAAATAAGATCTTACCCTAACACATTGATCCAAAACGGCAGAAAGGTACTCATCAACATTCAGCATATCTTGGGATAATCTGTTTAATATATTTCCTATTAAATGTGTATCGAAAAACATCATCACTGAGTTGATAATCTTCTTGATCATGGCCTTGTGTAAGTTAACAGACGCCCTTCTGCAAAACTCCAATAAAGCGTAAGTGGTGAACAATTCCATCCCTGTACCTAATACAACAAACACCGAGTACAATCTAAAAGTATCTTGTTCGATGGATTGAGCCAATGACAATGAGGGAAATAAGGTATCATTAGAAAGAGGATTGGTCGAAATATTTTTCTCGATGTTTAGCACAATTTGCTTTTTGTCTACCCTAAAAAAAATTATTAAAAATTATGTATTTTACTTACAATAAATGTAGTTCTACAAACATATCGGGTATTATATACATAGCCTTACCCTAAGGAGGATAGTTACATATCCTAAATAAAGACAATATCTCGAAATATTCTAATTCTAATTAAAACAAAGTTTCCTTCCCAGATCCGAGATCAATTGATTTATTGACGTATATGAGAGTTCGAAGATATGTGTAAAAAGAAGATTAGGAAAGTTGCCAATCTATAAACAATTTAATAAAGATAGAAGTAACCAAAAAAGAAAAAGTGCTAAGTAATTTAAGGTTTACCGGAAATTAAAATGTAAACATGGTATCATTCAGCATCAGACCGACTGACAAAGACGATAATTTTAAGCGCGTGTTTAAATGTTGTAAAACAAAAACAACTAACAACATTCAGTGAATAAAGTGCGATGAAAGTTTTGCTAAAGTAAAAAAACTAGAATTTGTAAACGAAAGGTTCCTTAAGTGCTGTGACTCTGAAAATGATAAAAACTGTGTCAGTTCTAATAACGAAAATGTAGCGTTAACTACCAAGGAGAGTGAACGAGAAATTTAACTTCTTAATCAAATAATCCGAGAAATGAAAGAAAAATATTAAATTTTTGCAAGAAAACAATAAATTATTATAGGAAAACTAAAATTTATTGAAACATTCAATACCATATCGCAGAAAACGTTACATATTTCAACAATAAAATTATTGATAATAAAAATGTTCAACAAAAACCTGGTGTAGAAGGTATGAATAACGACAATGAACACAAAAACATTGTTTGTAAATCGATCACTCAAGAACTCACCTATGCCAACAAAACAGCTGGCCAAGGGCAAGGACAGATGCAAGCAGATATAAACAAGCAACAGTTGACAAATAAAAATAAAAACAATGAAGAACCTAAGAGTAGCTCTAAACGAAATAAAATTAGTTCCCAAGAAATAAAATCTGCAATACCCAATGCAGTTGCATACAGTAAAATGGCTAAAATGCTACAACTTAGTGAACAACTTACTGAACGGCCGAAAAACGTAAGACCAGACGTTTCGTTGGTGGAGATAACAATGTAAATGATTGTAGTATACACACTGTCCCTAGATTAATTCATTTGCATGTGACTAGACTCGAACCTGTCACTACACCAGACAAACTCAGGAATATTTTAATCTCTAAATTCCCTGAAGTAATCTGTGAACCTCATGAGTCAAATCAGCCTGATCTCTACTGTTCTATGAAAGTTACACTAAACAAAGAAAATTTGAAATCAATTTTGGTAGCGTGAAGTGGGGCTTTCGGGAGCTATTGTGTCGTTTTTTCAGAAAAAGAGGATGATGCAGCACACTTTCGAAGTAGTGGATTCTCGGTGAGACCGAGATCAGATAACAAACACATGTTTAACATGTATTGATAATTTTTTTAGTAGTTTGGACATAGAACTAGTTGACTCATTTCCCTCTGATCATACATATTAAATAGGCTCTTTCATTGTCTCATTAATGCATAATTGTAATCATTCCTTTCAAACCCGTAACTGTATGGAATCTAATATGGATGTTTTCCGAAATGTATTATCTAGGAAAACCTGGCATGAAACTTATTCGACTATCACTTTCAACGATAAAATATCAGCATTTTATGAAATCTTTTTATATCATTGTAACACAATTTTTCCTAAAATCAAAACCACATTAAAGAAATGCATGATATGCTGTGCTAAATAAACGTATTACGCAAAAGGTTAAATAATCAATTTTATACAGAACGATATAGTACTTTTAAAAAGCAATATCAACAAATCAAACAGCAGTATTTAAAACAAAGAAATAATAGACTTATTGAAAATAGCAACACGATAAAAAAAAGTTGGAAAATCATCAATAATAATCAAAATAAAAATAAACCTACGTTAGCAAACACAATTAAAATAAATGACAATGAAAATATAAAAACTCAAGATAAAGCCAACCTGATAAATAACTATTATATTAATAAAAATAATAATAACTCAACTCCAAATTATCTCATGAAAGATTCACCTGCAGAGGTTCTGTCACTTATAAGAAAGACCACATCTAAACATGCTGAAGGTTTAGATGAAATCAATGGTAAGGTTATAAGATATGCTGCCAGTCATATATGTGAAACCTTTAACCAACGAATCTTTTACAACAGGCCAATTACCCGATATAAAGAAATCCAAGGGATTTCCAATTGTTAAAAATAACGGTTGTGCAAGTAATATTGAGAATTATCGTTTAATTTGTAACCCAGTAAGCTTGCACAGTTGTTTGAACTGGCATTCTGTGAAAGGCTAACAAGCTATCTAGAAGTATTTCATTTACTGCCAGATGTCCAAAATGGGTACAGGAAAGGAAAATCTATCGTAAGTGCCATTGATAACTGTCTTAATTGTATCTATAGAGTTCTTAATGAAAAACAAAATCTCTCCTTCTCAGTCCTAATCCCTTTGGGGATGTGGTGACACTATAAGGCCTTTACAGTTTTTTCAAGATTTTCCTTTATCCTTCCATGTCCTGAGCTAGTTGTTCGGCTTCATGTAACCCTTGGTTAACCAATATTTTTGTTTGATCTACCCAACGGCTTGGAGATCTTCCCTAGGTTTCTTTCCTTCAACTCTACCCTCGACTATCAGTTTTACCATCGTACCTGTTCTTCTAGTAATGTATCCAAAATACTACAAATATCTCTGTTGGGTCTTTTTTATGATCTGTTGTGCTTTTGACATGGTGGATTACAGGCTGCTTTTGATGAAGATGAAAGGCATGGAAGTTTGAGGTATACAACATGACTGGATAAAATCATATTTGTTAAATCGTTTGCAAACAATAACATTAGATAGTACACTATCATACCCAATGAAGTCTGCTGTGGGAGTACTACAAGGTTCGGTTCTTGGTCTTCTCTTCTTTATTGTTTTTATTAACGATATCAAGCAAGTTTGCACTACTCCTAATCAAATTATTGAATATGCAGATGATACAAGCTTCCTTATATTACATCATTAGTTTGATCAGGTTGTTAGTAAGGCAATAAAACATCTCATTTACCTATTTAGTAAGTATTGCAAAGATAACGTTAAATGAAATATAACAAAAACCAGTTTTATAAGATTTTTACCAAAGAACATAGCTGAAATGCTGAAGTAATAAAATTTTTAGGACTGGTGCCAGATCCAAAGCCAAGTTGGGTAGATCACATACATCATCGACACTAAGTAGTCGTTGTTAAGTAATTAGAAATATAAGTGATACTGTATCCTTCCATATATTAAAACCAATGTACTATGGCTTGGTGCTGTCAGTCCTTCAGTACTGCTTAATATTTTGGGGCTCATCTCCATATAGTTGGAGCTTTTATATCTAAAAAAAATACTACGAACTATGTTTGAATAAACCAACTACATCATGTAAGCCACTATTTATAAAATCTAACATCTTAACTCTTCCTTGCTTATATATTTTACAGCTAATAATGTATATAAAAAAACATGAACAAACATTCCTTAGAAACGCTGATCTACATCCACATAACACACGATAACATACATAAGCCTTTTTCCCGCCTGGGAGTCGCACAGCATGTTCCTGGCTACATTGAAATCAAATGTTTTATTAAGTTCAGTGACATGTTGGTGACACATAAGATGCATCTTGGCACTATTAAATGCTTTGAACAAAATCTAAAAACATTTCTAGTTAGCCATGCTGTTTACAGTATTGAATATTTTTTAAATTTTTAATGTATGTCCTGTAATGTATAAATTTCTAGACCAATAAATTATATCTATATATCTATTTGCCTATTGTGCTGTTCCATATTGATGACCAGCCTTCAGCCAGACATACAGGCATAGTATAGCAATCCCTAATCTGCCTAGCAGTTACGTATCGAAAAACAACTGTCAGGATCTTCTGTAGTACCAGGCTCGTCAGCCTGGTACTAGCTCCCACATCACCAAGAGAAATAAGTGAACTGATTAGAAGAAGTTCACCAAAAAAAAAGCATCTGGTCCAGACAAGATTACTAACATATCATCAAAGTATCTTCATTCAAAAGGAAAACCTACATATTTGTATTGAGCGAAAAATTTTACATAAGATAGAATAAATTTCAACTGTCCACCCTTTCATGCATACAGAAAGATACCCAGCTGCCGTACTATTGTAGGTATTTTAGAGAATAGAAAAGCCATCTTTATCTTTTGCACATGGGACCTGTGTATCCAGAAGACGTGCTTAAACCCCCTGTAAAAAGTTGAAAGCCTTCATCAAGCGTACAGAACTTTCTGAAGATTTGCAGCTTAAAGACGACCTTTTAGATTTCCGAATCCCCTATTATTTCCATCCCATTTCTGTTCTTCCCAAACTATTTTATTGCATTATTTTAGTTTTTATTATTTATATTATGTAAAATTATAACATATACTTTGACAAAGGTAAACTTACCACTTGGTTAGTAGTCTTTCTGCATAACTTACTGCAAACTGTGTGGATCCTCTCATAAAAACATTAAATAGAACGAAGATAAATCCTCCTCCATATATAAAATACTGTTTGTAAACTCTCCAATCCACAGATCCTTGTTTCTTTACTTCACTATAGATCTTTTTCGTCGACTTTTCTTCATTTTGAAGCAATTCTATATCCTCTGTTACTTCGTTACTGATATCTGCAGATTTCTCTTCTTTAAATTGTTGTTTTTGTAAGTCTGCAACGTGATCTATCACTTCTTTGGCTTCTTTAATAATCTTCTCACTTGGTTTACCTACATCTTTTACTGTACCATCCTCCAATATTATGACATTATCAGCTTGTTGTATGTGACTAGGATTTTGACTAACCAAAACACATGATTTGTTTTTTAAAAACTTCTTAATGCACTCATTAAATATATAAACTTGAACTGATGCATCCAATGCAGTAAGGCAGTCATCCAAAAGATAGATATCACTAGATCTGTAGATAGCCCTGGCTAGATTGATTCTTGCTTGCTGACCTTTACTTAGATTAAGTCCTCTGTCGGTTATTATAGTTTCGTCTCCATTTTCGAAAAGACTTAAATCAAATGTTAGGGCACAGGCTGTTATAACTTCATTATATCTAAAATAAAAAAATACTATATTACACTGCGCAAAATTAATTAGACTAGGGAAAGCTTTCTTCTTTTCGTTTTGTTGAATCGCACTGTATAATAATTTATTCTATTTATTCCTTTGATTTATATTAATCTTGCAGTATAGAACTCATACTGTTCTTTTCCAGGAAATTGAAGAGTATGACAGAAAATACGACAGCTTTAATAATATGCGTAAAAAAATAAAAGAACTAACAAATACGAAAAAGCCAGCTTTGATTTTTTGTTATACTCAAAGATGATTATGGTAAACTCATTGCAGACATCAAAGATAAACTAAGATTTTGGTAAGAATATATAACGAAACTCTTCGACTATAATAGAATGACACAAGAAGCACCACAAGAACAAACATGACCGAAAATAATAATGCACGAATTAAAACAGTCAATTAGAAATGCAAAGACCACAAGATTAGTGGGCCAGATCAGATACCAACTAAGCTAATTAAAGGCATTGACGAAGAAACACTGCATATACTTTTAGATCTGTTTAACAAAGTATATACGACAGGAGTAATACCCGAAGGTTGATTGCTGTCCGCGTTTGTTACACTACCAAAGTCAGTACATGCGACAGAATGCTCCCAGTACCAAACAATTTCCTTAATAAGCCACTCACCTAATTTATTTGTCAAATAATATATGGAAGACTATACAAAAAAATAAAAAAAGATATAGATGACACCCAGTTTGGATTCAGAGGAGGACTAGAAACGAGAGAGGCTCTGTTCGCTTTTAACGTTCTCCCGCAAAGACGACTAAGTATAAACCAGGATCTCTATGTCTGCTTTATAGATTATCAAAACGCTTTTGATAGAGTACGACATCAGAAACTTGTTAACTAAAATTTTTAACAGAAAATAATGTGGATAGTCAAGATATACGAGTTATTATCAATCTGTACTAGAATCAAGCAAAGGTTAGAATCGAAAATATCTATACAGAAACTATAGGAATAAAAAGAGGTGTGAAACAGGGTTGCGTGCTGTCCCCATTGGTATTCAATCTGTATAGCGAAGCTATCGTTAAGGAAGCAATATAAGAGGAAAAACAAAGTATATCAATAAACGGAAAAATCTTGAACAACATAAGATTCGCAAACGACACATCACGACACGATTACATCAACTCAGTATAAAATATGGACTATAAATGAACGTTAAAAAAACCTAGTGCATGATTATTTCTAAGCAACATACAGTACGAAAACTAGATATCGAGGGAAAACAAGTAGAAAGAGTGAATAATTACAAATATCTGGGAACCTGTATAAATAAAAACAATGAAAACAATGTTATTAATCGAGACCTTTCTCTGGAGCTGAGGATAAAACCTTAACATGCTATGTGTTCTCGACTTTGTGGTATGGAATGGAAAGCTGGACACTAAAAGTGGATAATATAAAGAAGTTGGAATCATTTGAGATGTGGTGCTGTAGATGGATTTTGAAAATACCATGGAACCAACGAGTTGCAATTGCAAAAAAGGCTACAAAAGGATTGCAAGGTCACAAAGCACATCAAAACAAGAAAGCTGGAATATTTAGGCCACATTACCAGAGGTGCGAAATATAAGATATAGGCTCATAATGCACTATACAAAATATACCAGGATTCGGATATTATAACATTTATTAAAATAGGACGGCTGCGTTGGATAGGATATGTGTAAAGAATGGAAGAAGAAGTACCAAACAAAATATTCAAACAGATGCCAGTAGGAAAAAGAACAAGAGGAAGACCGAAGCAGAGATACTTAGAATAAATAGAAAATGATATAACAGCCTTAAAAATAAAAAACTGGAGAAAAAAAAAGCACCAAACATAGCAGAATGGAGAAGAATCCTAGAACAGGCCAAGACAGTTCAAGCCAGTGATGATGATGATGGCTCATAATGCAAGATAAAAGCAAGGGTAAAAGATCCATATGAAGACGAAAACTTTGCTCGCTAAGAAACCTTAGAGGGTGGTATAGTTGCAGCTGAGTAGATCTTTTCAGATCAGCTACCAATAACGTACGGACAGCTCAAGAAAGTTTAATAGAACATAAATCAGAGGCTAAAAAACACTGGATGACAGAAGAAATACTATTACTGATGGAAGAAAGAAAGAAATATAAAGGAAAAGATCTACAGAAGTATAAAGAAATACAACGAATAATTAAGGAAAAAATCAAAACAGCTAAAAAATCTATTTGATGAAGCAATGTAAAGAGATAGAAGAACTAGAAACAAAATATGATATGGGAAATATGCACAAAAAAATTAGAGAAGTGACTGGAATGGGTCGAAATAGACAGCAAGGACACATAAAAGACAAAAAAAGAGTACTACTAGTAGATTTACCAGAGAAGTTAGGGCGATGGGAGGAGTACGTTAGAGAACTTTTCCAAGATGAAAGAGGTGAAATGCAGAAAATACAAGAATTAAGTCCTTTAGAGATACAGAAGATCACGATAGATGAAATCAAATATGCTATCAAAAACTCTAAAGACAATACCAGTTTATGATTAAGACCAGATAAGTTTAACATTTTAAGTTTAAGCTAAGACACATTAAGTTTATTGACCACATTAGATGAAATACCAGTAGAAATATTAAAACTAGTGGAAGAGGACAACTTGGAAGTATTGGCAGATTTATTCAACACGGTGTACGATACGGGAATAATACCACAGGAGTGGCTAAAGTCAGCATTTATAACCATCCCTGAGAAACAAGCAGCAAAAGAGTGATCTGATTATCGAACACTGAGCCTCATGAGTCATACTTTAAAAGTTCTGCTAAAAATAATACATAAGAGAATATACGAAAGGCTAGAGGAGGATATTAGCGAGACGCAGTTCGGGTTCCGAAATGGAATGGGTACTCGAGAAGGACTATTTGCCATCAACATATTAATTCAGCGATGTCGGGATGTAAATGTTGATCTACAATTGTGCTTCGTTGACTACGAAAAGCTTTCGATAAAGTAAGACATGAAAAACTAATATCAATACTTATGAACAAGCGCATTGACAGTAAAATCATAAATATAGTACAAACATTATATTGGAACCAAAGTGCCATAGTTCAAATTGATGGGCAACACTCAGAAGAAATGAGGATCTGTAGAGGAGTTAGACAGGGATGTGTGTTATCACCACTTTTGTTTAACTTATATTCTGAAGAAATTTTCCAAAACACGCTCAATAATATCGAAGCGGGAGTCACCGTTAACGGAAAATTAATTAATAATTTAAGATATGCAGACGGCACTCTGATCATAGCAACGAGTATAGAGGATCTACAACATCTTATCGAAAGCTTGAGTATAAATAGTGCTGAGATGGGAATTACTATAAACGCTAAAAAAACGAAGTACATGCTGATTACAAAAAGGCCACAAAATATATATCACCTATTGACAATAAATGGTAACGTGATAGAACAAGTAGAAAAATATCAGTATTTGGGAACTTTGATCAATGAAAGAAATGATCATGCTGTAGAAATAAACAGGCGAATAGAGATTGCAAGATCAGCATTTATACGAATGAAGCCACTCCTAACGTGCAAAAATCTAAATTTGGAGATCAGACTACGTACCATTCGCTGTTATATATTTTCAATATTATTATATGGAGCTGAGACTTGGACATTAAAAAAATGTAATTTAAAAAGAATCGAGGCCTTCGAACTCTGGTTATACCGCAGAGTATTGAAAATATCATGGACTGATAGAATTACAAATAAAGAAGTACTAGAGAGGGTTGGTAAAGAAACAGAACTAATCACCACTATACAAACCAAAAAACTGGAATACCTAGGCCACGTGATGAGGGGACCAAAATATGAAATTTTGAGACTGATAATACAGGGAAAGATTCAAGGAAGAAGATCTGTTGGCCGAAGGCAGAACTCATGGTTAAAGAATCTACGTGATTGGTACCAATGCAGATCGATTGATTTGTTTAGAGCAGCAAGTTTTAAAATAAAAATAGCCATTATGATTGCCAACCTCCGTAGGGAGACGGCACTCTAAGAAGAAGAAGCTGTCAGTAGCCAATCTCCGATAGGAGAAGAAACTACAAGAAAAAAAATCTTGCAGTTATATGAACTGTGATTACAGATTATTTGACTTACCTTCTGGCTTGATAGGGTTCTCCAAAAAGTATATTCTGCCTTATTGTCGAAGGAAACAACCACGGATCTTGTGACGCATACGAAATCCTACCCTGTGTGACTACTGATCCACTGTCTAATGGTATATCCTTTAAAATAGTTTTAAATACTGTACTTTTACCACATCCAATGGGACCTGTTATCACGGTTAGACCAGGAGATATTTGGAAAGAAACACCTTTTAAAATGTCTTGGTCTTTCATTTTAATAGTAGCTTCTTTTAGTTTAATAAATGGTGGTGATTTAGACTCTGGTGTGATTTCCTCGACGAGCTCTTCAGATTTCAAAGCCTTGACTAATCTCTTGTAAGAAGATACAAACTCACTGACGTTTCCCATACCAAGGGGCATCACAATAGCTAAAAAATGTCTGAGATCTCGGAAGTTGGATAAAATATAAAATATTATAGTGGTGTCCGTAGATACGCCTGCCCATATGCAAGCCATTATTAGCATGTAAAAGCCAAAATTTAAAAACATCACTCCTGTAATTATAATAACTCTTTTGCAGTAGAATCCCAGATTTAATTTCTTCATTTCCTCTCTAAAAAGAAGTTATAATTAGCTAAATTACGTTAAAGTTAGGTTAAGTGAAATTTGTTAAGTTGTTTTTTAAAAATTGGTAAACGAATAACGAAAGATATAAAAAATATTTTTCTGTGCTTTATTGATTGTAAAAAAGTGTGCAACTATACACCCGAGATGGGTTTACTTTTATTGCAGCGTTTATTGTGCATACTGTTAGTTTTTGTTAGATATGAGGAATTGCATCAACAATATCCGTTTAATAGTAAGCCCTTATTTCGGTTAATACAAAAGTATCTGGCACTATTGAAAGATGAGGAAATTTTGACATTACGTATTAGTTGTAATTGTTATTGATCTACTAGTAGATCGTGGCTTTCCACCAATACCATTAGTTTCCTGTAACTCCATGTCTCATGGATAAGTTTTTAGGTTCTGTGAAATTGAAACCTTTCTCATAAAGATGCTGATGCTTTTTATTTATGCTGATTTTAATGCCTATACTTATGCCTATGCTTATACTTCTTTTTTGTTCCATAAACTTCTGTTAATGTTGTTATAATTTCGATTAAGTGATTCTCCGAATTTCATACAATTCTTACCGTTTTCTATTTCCACACTTTTTCCTGTATGTCTGCATTCCGCCATTCCGCCTTCTTGTTAAGTTTTTTATTGATAAGTTTAAATCTTTCCCATTTTTTTCCATACTTATTTCCATTTTATTTTGCTCTGCTATTTTATCTATTATTTTTGCTGTACCGGATTTCGCCTTATCATGTCTGCCAGTTTTAATCAGTTCTATTATCCTCAACCAAATCTCAAAACTAGGAACATTGGTTAGTCAAAACGCAGAACAAAGGCAAGAGATTAAGAGCCGTATAGAAATAGCAAGGGCAAAATTTGTAAAAATGAAACATCTATTGTGTAGTAGAGACCTAAGAATGGATCTAAGGATAAGGTTATTGCGCTGCTACATTTTTACAACTTTGCTCTACGGATCTGAGGCATGGACATTGAAACAACTGGAGATTAAGAAATTGGAAGCTTTTGAGCGTTGGTGTTATCGAAGGATGCTACGAATAGCATGGGTAGACAAAATTACCAATATTGAAGTCCTTGATAGGGTTAATAAGAGGGAAGAAATTGTACAGACAATTAAGAGGCGGAAACTTGAATATTTCGGTCATATATTAAGAGGTCCTCGTTATGGGCTACTACGTTTGATTATAGAGGGCAAAATAAAAGGTAAAAGAGTTGTAGGAAGAAGACGAACCTCCTGGCTACGAAATCTAAGGGAATGGTTTAGTTTGAGCTCTAGCCAACTATTTAGAGCTGCTGTAAGTAAAATAAGAATTGCCATGTTGATATCCAACCTTCGTTAGAAGATGGAACCTTAAGAAGAAGAAATCTCAAAACACCAAACACCATGACGTTCAAAATAAACGATATTATAATAAACGGTTGTTTTAAAAATATTTTTTACCTTTTCAGTGAATGTCTGAAAATCCCAATGCCGAAAAATTGTGATTTGTCGTTGTTTTCTTCAATTATTTGTATGATTTTCCATGATTCTGGGTCAATCCCTGAACATTGTGTATTTCACCTCTTTGACACTTTCTTAAATTTAGTTGGGATAACCAGATAGTAGACAGTAGACTTTCATTAAAGAAAGAAAAATCAAGAGATCAGAGCAGAAAGGCGACTCAGCTGAACTCAGAAATCTGAACAGAGATATCTCAAAAGCAATCCGTAAAGATCAGAGGAAGTATAATACTGAGAAAATACAAAATGTGATTGAGCAAAATGGAAATATGAAAATACTCAGAAGAAAGCTTTGTGATGGTAAAAAGGAAATTGTTAAACTAAAAGACAAGGAAGGTTATATACCAACAAATAGAGAGAATAGTAGAGTTAGCAAAAAGCTTCTATGAAGAATTATACAAAAGCCAGTTAACAGAAGTAGACAAAACACAAATTAGAGAACGCAGAGTAATGAACCAAGGATCCGACCTTCTACCTACCATAGCGATAGAAGAAGTGAAATGAACTCTAAAGGAAATGAAAAACAACAAGGCTCCGGGAGATGACCAAATAGTAATAGAAGCTGTTAAAGTAGGAGGCAAGAAACTGCTGGAAGTAGTAACTGAACTATTCAACCTATGTCTAAACCAAGGTATTGTCCCTACAAAATGGAACAGTGCAATTACTATCCTAATACACAAAAAAGGAGATATATCAGACCCAGAGAATTATAGACCGATAAGTCTGTTGTTACATCTCTACAAATGGTTTGCCAAGATCATCACAAAACGTTTAGAACGAAAATTAGATTTCTATCGGTCTAAGGAGCAAGCTAGGTTTAGGAAAGGTTATGGAACAAATGACCACCTACAAGCACTTAAAATACTAATTGAAAAATATGTTGAATATAATAAACCACTCACGTTGATTTTCATAGACTTCAAGAAAGCTTTTGATACCGTCGAATTACCGGCAGTATTAGGAGCATTAGAACAAAGCCGAGTAGACTATAGATATACAAATTTGATAAAACATATATACAACAACGCAACAGCATCTGTTAAACTCCATGCCTTTACCGATAAATATAGGATTGAGCGAGGAATTAGACAGGGCGACACCATCTCCCCCCAACTATTCACTGCAGCTCTGGAATATGCCTTTAAAAAACTAGAGTGGGCTCAAAGGGGAATCAATATTGATGGTGAATACTTAAGCCACTTGCGCTTTGCAGATGATATTGTCATTATAGCCGAGAGTTTAAATGAAGCTCACAAAATGATGAAAGAACTAAAACAGGCAATAGAACAAATAGGCCTGAACATAAATTTTAAAAAAACAAAATACATGACCAATTTAGTTCCAAGTGATGTCATGAGGGTAGATGGGAACGAAGTACATCAGGTCTTTAGCTATATCTATTTAGGGCATAAAATTAGAATAGGAAAAGACAATCAAACTTGTGAGATCCAGCGTCGCATAGGCTTGGGATGGGCAGCATTTGGCAAGATGTGAGATATTCTAAAAGGAACGCTACCGATTTGCTTGAAGAAAAAGGTTTACAACCAATGCATACTGCCAGTAATAACATATGGTTCCGAAACAATAACTTTAACCAAACATTCTGCAAATAAATTGAGAGTAACCCAAAGAAAAATGGAAAGAGCAATGTTGGGAATAACTAGAAGAGATATGGTACCAAATAGGATATTGAGAGAGAGGACTAAAGTGACAGATGTCATAGAAAAAATTGCACAAGCCAAATGGAGATGGGCTGGACATATAGCACGTTTAAATGATAATAGGTGGACCAAAAGACTCATAGAATGGAGACCTAGAGAAGACAAAAGACACCGAGGCAGACCACCAAAAAGATGGATGGACGACTTAAGAAAAACAGTCAGAAATTGGGTACAGAAGGCGCAAGATATAGAACAGTGAGAGAACATGGAGGAGACCTTTATCCAACAGTGGATGCAAGAGGTTGAGGAATGACGATGATGATGATGATGATGATGATGATGATGATGATGATGATGATGATGAATCAGATAGTAGACAGCTTCAACTATCCTGGATCTATTATAACTACCGATAGCAACTTCGAAACAGTTCGTAGACGCATTTCTGTTTTATAAAATGCGATGAGTCACCTAACTAAAGTTTGTAAAGACTGATATATCTCTAAAAAAATTAAAAACTAGTGAGTGCACTTGAATTCTCAATATTTCTATACGGGGCAGAAACTTGGACTCTTCGCACAGAAGAACACCAAAACAATGGAGGTCTGTGAGATTTGATGCACATATCTTTAACAGCTCATCCGACAAACGTATCTTAGTCAAACGGCATTCTTAGTAACTTAATATTAACAAAAGGTATGTCTACAATATGCCTTCAGCGAATTTTACAGTTCTTTGGTTATGTGATTCGTAAAAAGGGACGATAGTTTACAAAAATTAATTGTTTCTGTCGATTAACCACAGTTCTCAGTAATGGTAAAAGGACAAAAGAGAAGAGGTTGAAAAGATATCGACCAACACAAAATTATTATTGCACTGGATAAGTGTAGAATACATCGCAGATATGTAACCTTATATCATCATATATCACAAAATATGTTCAGTGGATTGCGTACTTACTTTCTTGCTTTAGTAACTTTTTTTGTGAAGAACATTTCCCAGGTGTACATTTTTATTATTCTTATTGTAGACAATATTTCCTGGCTAAGTTGTAGCCTCTCGTCAGATTTTTTACACGCTTGCAACCTTAACTTGGTTATCCATGTACTGATATAAACTAGAAATTAAAAAAAAAGACATGAGTTTAGATAGAGAATAAGGATTTTGTAGCTTAAAATGTTTACTACTATCCAATGAGCCGCTTTTGGATTAAATTTAAAAATTTGGTTATCTACGACTAATATATAATGCGATTATTATACTCATGTCTTTACAGTATAGCACCATATATTATTCCCTTTCAAAATAATGAGGAAGTATTAATGGTTCTTATTCTCTATTGCACTCCATTATCAAAAATTTTCAAATTAAAAATTATCATGGAAATAAAATAAACCCGCTCTGGAGTTATTATCAAATGTATAGAATTTAGTATTTTTTATTTCTTGATTAGATAATAATTGAAATGGATGGAACTGGAGAGTTTTTTTACTTCTACACCACCAGAAGCTACTAGCTGTAGCAACAACATATATCTTAATACCAAAGTCAATTTATAATAAATCATACCCGCTAATGAGTATGAAAATATGTTGGAAATAAAAATATGGTGGACATGTGGTGTTAATATAATGGGCTAAAATTCTTTTAGAATATTTGTAATAAAACACTCTATATCTCGGTAAGGAGGAATATTTTAGGATATTCGTTGCAAAAATTGCTCTCTTACCGTTTCAAACGGTAACTGCTTTCTTAGAGACTTCAAAACATTCTTAGGGTACATAAATAGCCAAATTTGCGAGTCTATTATAATTTGTAAAAGCTTTGTGCCGAATGTGTATATTACCTTGGAAGGGAAAAACTGATAGCAAAATTCCAATCCCTACGAATGATATGACGCCAACTTTATTGAACAGCAAATAGCAAATGACCAAAACTTGCGTTATAGATACCCAAGCGTCATTAACACTAAAAATTACGGTCACAAACGCTTGGACGTCCCTGGTAATCAAAGTAACAATATTTCCCAGATTTGTGTCGGTTGTAGCAGCTGATGAAAGTTTCAGAGCTTTCCTAAAAACAACAAATTGTAGTAAATTGTATAATACAATTGATAGTTAAATTAACATACAAAAAACCAAACTTATATGGAATCAACTCATTATTCTTATTATTTTAAGTGAATTTGTAAAAAATAAACCAACAAAGAAAAAGAATAATAATTTTAAAGCAATTTAATCACCAATATATAAAAATATAAAATATAAAGGAAATGAATCGGCTGAAAATAAATATAATGGGAGTCAGTGAAGTCCGATGGTCTGGATCTGGACAGTTTACGAAAGATAAGATTACTATGTATTACTCGTGTAGTGACCCAACAGATAGACATCACCGACATGGAGTGGCTATTGCTCTTGACAGGAAGACCAGTAAATCGGTGACAGATTTTGTTCCAATTTCCGAACGAGTCATGTTGATCAAAATGACAGGCAAACCAGTAAACATAAATGTGACACAAGCATATGCACCAACAGCAGATAAGTCAGAAGAAGAAATAACTAAGTTCTATAATGAATCTGGAAAAAGCAATAAGACTAACAAAGAAAGTGGACATAATATTGGGCGACTTTAACGCCAAGGTGGGTAAAGGAAGATATGAAGACATAATTGGAGAGTACGGTCTTGGAGTTAGAAATGAAAGAGGCGATCTGCTATGTGAATTCTGCCAGGAGAACGGTTTTGTCGTCATGAACACATGGTTTCAGCTCCCATCTCGTAAGTTATATACTTGAAGATCACCAAGAGACCGTCCAAATCGAATAATTAGAAACCAAATTGACTACGTTTTAATAAACAGAAGATTTCGTAACACTATCAAAAGAACCGCAGCATATCCAGGTGCTGATATTGCATCCGATCATAATCCGCTAATAGTAGATGTGAAGTTAAAACTAGCAAAAATTAAGAGACCAAATATAAATACCAGCACACCTATAAATACAAGAGAACTGATGAGAGACGAAAATCTGAAGAAGAGTCATGCGAATCAAATTAATGAAAGAATGCGAGAAATAGAACAAAATGATGATATCGAAGAGATGTTCAATGATATTAAAGGAACGATTCTGGCAATAAACAGGGAAGTTAAAACACAGATCAGAAAGAGAAAGCATAACGAATGGATGACGGACGAAATTATGGATCTAATGGAAAAGCGAAGGCAACATAAACAACAACGTAATCAAACAGATATACAAAAAAATCCGTCAGAAAATTAAGAAAGCAAAAGAACGTTGGATGGTGGAAAGGTGCAATGAAATAGAACAATTGCAGAAAAAAGGAGATAGTTTTGGACTACATAAAAAGATCAAAGAAATATCGAATATACACAAAAGCCACCACAGAACAAGAATACGCAACGACAGAAACGAATACATAGAGTCAGAAGAGGAGATAGCAATGGCGTGGAAAGAATACGCAGAAAGCCTTTTTAGTGACGAAAGACCAACACAACCAACGTGCAAACTTCCTTCCGAAATCTTATCAGGGCCATCAATAATACGAAGTGAAATAGAATATGCAGTTAGAACCACAAAGATGCATAAAACAACAGGTCCAGATGAAATTAATATAGAAGCAATAAAACTACTAGACGAGGAGAATATCGAAATCTTGGTAAGGCTGCTCAATAGAATTTATGATACTGGTTACATTCCGCGAGAATGGCTGCAGTCATCCTTTGTGATGATCCCAAAAGAGCTAATGCCACAAAATGCAATGAACACCGCTTAATCAGTTTAATGAGTCACTTGTTGAAACTCTTCCTTAGGATATTACACTCAAAAATGTACAAGAAACTAGAAGAACTTAGCGGGTCAACACAATTCGGTTTTTAGGGAGGACTAGGAACAAGAGAGGCAATTTTATGTTTGAACACCTTAATACAAAACTGCTTAGATCAACGAAAAGATCTCTACCTCACATTCATCGACTACGAGAAGGCATTTGACAATGTTAAACATGATATCATGATAGAACTACTACATAGGGCCAACATTGACCAGAAGGAGATCAGAATTATTCAGAATCTATACTGAAACCAAATGGCAAAGGTGAGGATTGATCAAGACCAATATACGGATGAATTTGAAATCCGGAAAGGTGTCCGCCAAGGCTGCATACTCTCTCCGATGCTTTTTAATTTATATGTTGAAAATATATACGGAATATGAATATGAAGATACGGTATTAGGCATTAAGGTGAACGGCATAGCAATTAGCAACCTACGCTATGCGGACGACACAGTGATTATAACTGATAATTTGGAAGATCAGCAGTTATTACTTAATAAGGTGAATAGCATAGGTAAAAAATATGGCCTCAAAATCAACATTTTAAAAACGAAATATATGGTCATTAGCAGAAACCCTCCAGAAAACCCGATAATATGCATAGGTGACAATCGTATAAATCGCGTGAAAACTTTTAAATACCTTGGCACCACAATCAATGACCAATCGGATCCACAACACGAGATAAAAACCCGAATACAAATGGCAAGTCAAGCTTTTGTGAAATTCAGACCGCTCCTATGTAATCAACACCTAAACTTCGAAATACGCTACAGAATGGTCAAGTGCTACATATGGTCCATCTTGCTTTATGACATGGAAACGTGGACTTTGAAAAAACATCTATCAACAAACTTGAAGCATTTGAAATGTGGTCATTGAGAAGAATGATGCGCATACCTTGGGTAGATAGAGTTCGAAACGATGACGTCCTTAATAGAGCCGGCGTGGAAAGAGAACTCTTTGAATTAATTAAAAAACGCAAGATTGGTTACCTAGGGCACATATTGAGAGGAGCAAAATATAAAATACCATTTAATCCTTGTAGGCAGTTAATCCTACAAGGGAAGATCAAAGGTAGGAGAGGAGCCGACCGCAAACAATTATCCTGGTTAAGGAATATTAAAGAATGGACAGGAATACACAATACAGGTGAGCTGTGTCACGCCGCCAAGAACAGAATTCTAGTAATGAGAGTCGCCTACGCACTTTGGTGTATGGCATGTTAAGAAGAAGATATAAGAATTAAAAAAATCTATAAATTCTTACATAATAATATTGAATCACGAACTAGAAATCCGAAGACGAAACCAAAATCCAGTTTTTGCTTTAATCTTTGTCTTCTAAGAATTGCAAGGCAAATAGACGTTGATAAAGGTGTAATTAGAGAAAATGGGGAATCTAAAATTTCATTCCAGGATATATCTCCTCGACTAAGCAAAAATCCTTGGCAAATTGGTTTCTCGTACTCATAAAGAGTATATCAAAATAAAAAGGAAAGACAGTTAAAATTTGATTTCACATATAGTGCCAGATTTTACGCAAATCCTGGTTTTGTCTGAAAATAGCACAGTTTGCCAATTTCCAATATTTCAGTTTTAGTATTTAAGACACTAATTTAGGCGATTACTCTTGTGCTGTCTGGTTAACTCGGGTATACGTAACTCTCTACTGCTGTATAGTCCTTGAGCACGAAGTCTTCTTCTCATCAAGTCAACTAAAACACACCTGTAACTTTCAAAAGCAATAGGTTTTTGACACAACATCCTGTGAATTACTTACTTACTTATTCCCAAGCCTTTCTACCGTTAGGTGTAAGGCTGGTGAAGTTAAGTTTTGCAGTGTTGTCCCCATGCTTTCCGGTCTTGTGTTAGATTTCGTGCACTTTCCCATGTCAACCCTTTCTTCTCAACTTCTTTTCTGATTTCGTCTACCCACCCAACTCTTGGTCTTCCTCGTTTGTTTTTCCCTTGCACTCTCGTTTTAATCACTCGTTTTGTTAATCTTTCATTCGACATTCTACACACGTGCCCGAACCATCTTAGTTGCCCCTCTACTATTTTTTCGTTTATTGGTTCTAGTTTTAGGTTTTGTCTGATTGTTTCGTTTCGTATTTTGTCTGTCCTCTTTCTGTTAGCTATTTTCCTCAGGAACCTCATTTCTATAGTATTAACTCGAGATTTTTATCTTCCTGTCAATGTCCATGATTCGCTATTATGCATGATTGTAGGTCTAACTACTGATTTTGCGACTGCCGTTTTTACCTACTTCGGTATTTCTTTTTTCCCCAAAAATGTTGTTTTCATAGTGATAAATAAGCTTCCTGTTTGTCCCATTGTCTCATTTATTTCCATGTCTTGTTTACGGTTTGATTTAATTATTACTTCTAGGTATTTATAATGTTCTACTTATTCTAGTTGTTTTCTGTTTAATTGTATTGCGTGTATCTTTCTCTTATTTGAAATTATCATTGTTTTTGTTTTCTCTGTATTTATCTTCATATTTTCTCATTATCTTCATATTTCAGGGTTTCTCTATTTTCAGTTTTCAAAACCATGTCGTCTGCAAATAGAAGCTCTAATAGTTGAGTCTGTTTCATTTGCCAGTATCCTAATGTTAGTTTTCTTATTATTCTCTTGGCTTGCTTTATTGTTTCATCCAGTACCACTGAGAACAGCAGTGGGCTCAACACGCATCCCTGTTTGATGCCTTGACTTGTAGTAGATTCTTCGGATTCCTCGTTATTGGTTTTCACCGTATTTGTATTATTATTGTACATATCTTTTATTACATCAATTGTTACCCTGTCAACTCCTCTTTCCTTTAATGTCCTCCATACGTCCTTTCTTTGGATCACTCCCGCTATTTCCATGAATTTCATCATCTCCGGGGCGATATGATCCTTGCCTGGGGCTTTGCTAATTTAATTCTTTCAATTGCCTTTTATAGTTCCTCTGTTATTATGGGTTCTATTTTTTGTTCGTCATTTATTTCTTGTATCTCCACTATGTTGTCTACGTCTGTATAAGTTAGCTCTTTGAAATGTTCTCTCCATCTTTCCATTATTTGGTTTTCTTGCGTTATTACCTTTCCATTCTTGTCTTTTATATTCGGCATCATGTGTTCTTTCTTTTGCCTGAGCTGTTTTAATACGCCATAGAAGAGTTTTTGATTTTCCCCATAATTATTTGTCATTTTTAGCCAAACTTTTCCCACGACCTTTCTTTTTCTGCTTTCGCAGCTATTTTAACCTCTTTTCTTTTTTCTTTATATACCTCATAGCTTTCAGGGCGCTTTGTACTTTGATAGTTTTTCCATTTTTCTTTTTTGTTCTTTATTTTCCTTCGTATTTCGTCCGTTCACCATTCAGTTCTCCTTACGCTAGTATTTGCTATTTTTGTCTTCCCGCAAGTTTCTTCAGCAGCTATGATTAAGTTGGTCTTGATCATCAAGTCAACTAAAACACTTACACCTGTAACTTCCAAAAGCTGCATTTTGAGTTGCAGGTGAGAAATTGTTGGGTCTCTTCTAGCTACTTGGACAATAAAACAATCCTGGCAAGCCGTTGTTACTTTTTGGTGACTTTATTTTTGGTGACTTTAATCTAGTCTTAAACGTTCCCAACTTTTGATAGCTTGCATACGTTTTTGAACCAATATCCTATGAATTACGGTGCAATAACCCCGGAGGTTAGCAAACCCAATCAACAGTTTTGTCAGCATTTAATTTTTATTTAAAAGAAATAGTATTGTAATTCAATTCAGTTATTTTCGATCAATAAAGCAGTGCAGTATTGTTGTAAAAGTTATTAAACGATCTTTTTAAAAAGTACCTTCGTGAGTTTAAATCTTTAAGTCGAAAGAAAATGTAAAAAAGTATTTTTGAAGTGTGTATATTTTAGGCAATTCCTAGCTGGCGCTTTCGGCTTTACAAAGCCATCATCAGAGCTATGCTACAATAAAATGTTCTTATAAATACTAATTGGTAAAGATTATAATTTTAACTTACGTCAATTTTTTAAATACCACTACAAAGGAGAGATCTCATTTCCTTATATTTCAAAATTATGATTTTTGTTGAAATTCTTAAAACATATAAAAAAACATATAAAAAGCCAACACTGGACTTCACAAACACGTTAAAAAAATTGAAAAAATTTTTTGTCATGGTACGGGTGTAAGAACCCGACCATTGTTTGATCTGAGGAGGTAGGCAGAATAGAACTAATGAAATCAAATGTCGGTCCTTTTAAACGATTTTTCAAAAGTGACAGTTGACAAATGTCATATATAGGAAATAGAGATTGTTTTTAAATTCTTACAAAAATATTTAATGTTTGGAATTACTAATAGTCATCAAAGACTTTCTAAAAATTAAGTGTTTAAATTAAATTTTATGTGTTTATCACATCATACAGAATAACATTAGTTTTTAAATTCACTCAAGTCATTGCTCAAGGTCAATGTATATTCAATCTGACAGCCATCCTTAAGAAACAAGGGCTCAAATTGTTCAACAACAATATAAAGAAAAAACATGGTATTAATGTTACGTTATCTGATACTTAAGTGTATTGAGAATTGTATCTCTTGATGGAAATTTGTAAGAAATTTGCATAAGAAATTTTTTAAGAATGTATTTTCATGTTTCAATTAAGAATAACTGTCAAATGAATTACAAAATGTTGTAAATTTCTAATAAAGTTTAAAATTTGTTTAAAAATATAAAAGTATGAAAAAATATATAATAAGATTGCATGAGGTCACCCTTCTTCCTCTAAAGTCTCCCATAATAATTTAAAAAGAGGTTTATAATTGCAATTGAGGTTGATTTGTGTGTTTAAGCAACAATCAGGGTTTAGTTTCATTTCTTTGGATATCTCAAGATCTTCCAAGAGATTCATGAGTCTAAAGTTTTTATTGGGAATGTTTTGTAAAATTTTACTGTTTTCAGAAGGAGAAAAGGAATGATTATTAAATTTAATGTGATATCCAAAGTTTGATTTTTCTGGGTTATTGAGGTGTTCTTTGATTCTTTGATTCAAAGTTCTCATTGTTCTACCTACATAAGTCATATTACAGTCACCACAGGACAGCTTGTAGACTGTGTTTGTGAAGTCCAGTGTTGGCTTTTTATATGTTTTTTATATGTTTTAAGAATTTCAACAAAAATCATAATTTTGAAATATAAGGAATGAGATCTCTCCTTTGTAGTGGTATTTAAAAAATTGACGTGAGTTAAAATTATAATCTTTACCAATTAGTATTTATAAGAACATTTTATTGTAGCATAGCTCTGATGATGGCTTTGTAAAGCCGAAAGCGCTCAGCTAGGAATTGCCTAAAATATATACACTTCAAAAAATACTTTTTTACATTTTCTTTCGACTTGTCATAAGTGTGTACAAAAAAAATATCAGTCTTTTGATTGTTAAATCTTTAAGATGTGTTACGCCTACCATTGTAGCTATGTCCGTCTGAGACATTCATTGGTCCACAAGACCAATAATCTTTCCTCCTGCATATACGTTAACCCCGCAAAAGGCATATTATTCTTTTGGAAAGCGAAACTTAATTGATATAATTTTCATTCAATTTATAACAAATAAATAATAAAATAGCAATAAAAAGTTCGCAACAATAAAAAGTTTTTTTAAAAGAAATAAATATTAGTTTGAAAAACATGGTTATTCCATATAAGTTTGGTTTTGTGTAGTTGTCACTTAAGTTCAACGTATATATGTCAAATAAAAGCTCTGGTTAATCAAATCAGTTAATGTATCTATTAGTCTTTCTGATAAAGAGCAATACCTACATGGTATCAAACAATAGATTTTTTGGGTTCTCGATTGAAGTTAAGTCAAAATGTCCCGCAGGTAATCTAACACAAGTCTGCTATTACAGATTGGCTTTAAATTGCGTAAATATTACTGTCCTCTTCTTGTTTTGTTTCTTAATTCAGGATTTGGGCATTTTCTGCCTGTTTCAGGGTTAATCTTATGAGTTAGATAGAGTGGGCCATAATGAGACATGGGTCTCTATGAGACAGTTAAAGTATTTAAATATAGCGGGGTTTGAAAGGTTCTGTACTATATGAGTAATTCTATGAATTCCATCTTTACTCATAACTCCATATTACACATAGCTGATATCACTCTACTACAGACCGTTTGATTTTCGTAGTTTTTTGACACGAGAAGCTATCAATACATGTGCCAAACTGAAATGATATAAACAAAGTAATTTTTTTCGTAATAAATTGACATACCATGCAGAAACGGTTTGGAATTGACAATATGTATATATGTATTGTATGTTACCTATATAATAAGGATGAAAACCCAGTTCTCATCTCAATGGCAAACATCTGAATCCATATCATGTAATTGTGGTTGTAGAATAAAGCCACAAAGTGGATTACCAAAATGCCACATCCATAAAAATAGGCGTCATTCTTCGTTATAGTTTTTTGCCCAGGAGCAAAGTATGCAACGAAATGGCTGATCACATATGGACGTATAATACTGAAAAAAAAAAGAAACAGTTATTAAACGTGTTAATAATTTTTATGGAATAAAAATAATTTTATGTATTTCCATCTCCATTATCAAACAATCCTTTAGTAATAATCCCGTCAGTACCTGTTTGATACAGGGTGGTCCTTAAGTATGGGTACAAAAAGAAACAGTAGATTCTATATTTTAAAATATTAAGAAAGATACAGGGTGTTAAAGTGAAAATTTAAAACTTCATTTTCTGCTATAACTTTTATGTTTGTAAACATTTATGTATAAAAATTTCCAACTGGGTTCTTTTAAATAGAGAAATTATAATTTGATACAAAATTAGATGTAGCTGATAGAGGGCGCCACATATGTCGCATAAATTTGCACCAAACTTTTTTGCTTTTAAGTTATCTGTATTTATGACAAAAAATATTAAAGATGCATTATTTTAACAAAAAAAGGTTTATACTTGTTAATAACTTCAAAACTCAACAGTTTTCGAGATAATCACATTTTACAAATTGGCTATATAATTCTGATTTAAGGCAATCACTCCAGACAACGAAGGAAAAATGGACAAAAACATTATTACTTCTGAATTTTGGTATAAAATACATATAACTAAAGTTAATAGTTAACGAAATATTAAATAAAATAAATATATTAGCAGGATAATTAATAATAGGATTTGACAAAGTAACAGAATAATAGAATTTTACATCATAGAAAAGGGAAATTGTAAACATGATGATGGGCAACGCAACGTCTCAATACGGATACGGCACCTAAAGAAGAAGATGAAGAATATTTTCTCCATAAAACATTTTGTGGTGTTACATTATCATCTTTGAGTTGTTTATTAAGAATAAACTATGAATAATGCTTATTTACAACTGGTAATTATTATGCAGCTGACTTATAAAATGCGATTATCTCAAAAGCGGATGAATTTTAAGGTTACTAACAAGTATACCTCTTCTTTGTAAAAATAATGTATTTTTAATATTTGTTAACACAAATAGAGCTAATTACTATTAAACTGGGAATAAGCCACAATTAAAGATAAAAATACGTTTATTGATGTTTCAATTCCACTTCGGAAATCGTTCTCAAAATACAAACAGTAAATTAAACAAATTTTGTTTTTTGTTACATAGTGAAAAATTCTTCTAATAATTTAATTTTATCTCACTCATTTATATTGACAATTCAGACATACATTATGCATTTTAAAGTAGACGACTTTAAAGTGATATTGCCAATATTGTTGAGTTGCGCTCCTGGGACGACTTTACTTATAAGATAGTTCATTCGACTACATGAAATCAACTTTAACTTGAGAATATTCGTCAGAAAAAAATCATAGCATGTAATTCGTCTTTAAAAAGACAAACACATAACATGATGACAGTAAAATTCTCCTGTTAGTGATTCCATAGTAAATTATGAGGGAAAAACCAGGAAAAAAGCCTCATAATACTATCCCGACATTGTAAGTATTTGTTCGTGAATTTAGTTTACCTTCAACAAACATCAAAATTCTGATTTTATGTGTTACGTTATTTAAAAAACATAAATGATGTATCCTCTATATGTTACTGACTTACTAATACTGGTATTTTCTTATTAATAACTTCCTCTTTCAATATTGGTAACCAGATCCTACTACATTCTGCCGAGGAATTTGCGACACAATTGGCTTCATTTAGCATAATTAGAGTCGCTTCTTTAATTTTTCTTTTTTTACCATCCGTTTCTTTTAGGACTACATTTGAATTTCAATGGAATAATTCAAACGTAGTCCTAAAAGAAACGGATGGTAAAAAAAGAAAAATCAAAGAAGCGGCTCTAATCATGCTAAATGAAGCCAATTGTGTCGCAAATTCCTCGGCAGAATGTAGTAGGATCTGGTTACCAATATTGAAAAAAAAAAGTTATTAATAAGAAAATACCAGTATTAGTAAGTCAGTAATATATAGAGGATACATCATTTATGTTTTTTAAATAACGTAACATATAAAATCAGAATTTTGATGTTTGTTGAAGGTAAACTAAATTCACGAACAAATACTTACAATGTCGGGATAGTATTATGAGGTTTTTTTCCTGGTTTTTCCCTCATAATTTACTATGGAATCACTAACAGGAGAATTTTACTTTCATCATGTCATGTGTTTGTCTTTTTAAAGACGAATTACATGCTATGATTTTTTTCTGACGAATATTCTCAAGTTAAAGTTGATTTCATGTAATCGAATGAACTATCTTATAAGTAAAGTCGTCCCAGGAGCGCAACTCAACAATATTGGCAATATCATTTTAAAGTCGTCTACTTTAAAATGCATAATGTATGTCTGAATTGTCAATATAAATGAGTCAGATAAAATTAAATTATTAGAAGAATTTTTCACTATGTAACAAAAAACAAAATTTGTTTAATTTACTGTTTGTATTTTGAGAACGATTTCCGAAGTGGAAATTGAAACATCAATAAACGTATTTTTATCTTTAATTGTGGCTTATTCCCAGTTTAATAGTAATTAATTTACAATGCCACAAGAAAATAGCTTCAGAACAATACAAATAGAGCTAACTTAAAGAGCAAAAAAGTAAAGCGCAAATTTATGCCACACATGTGGCATAGGTGGCGCCCTCTATTAGTTACATTAAAGTATGTATAACATTATAATTTATCCTACTCAAAAGCATACAATTGTAAATTTTTGTCCAAAAATATTTACAAACGTAAAAGTTATAGTGGAAAATAAAATTTAAAATTTCCAATTTAAACACCCTATGCCCTATATCTTTCTTAATATCAACATTTTATTAAAGCAAGTTGACTTAAATCGTAATATTTTAAAGTGCAGAATCTACGGTTTCTGTTTGTACAATTACTTAAGGACCACCCTGTATACAATATAACGAAAAAATAAATGGAATCCTTACCTCATGATGGTATTAAAAACAAAATCAATGAAACCCCTAAACAAATATCTTTTTCCGTAACACCTCCACATAACGCTAGAAACCGACGGATTCTTTGTGTGCCTTTTTTCACTTAACCATTCTCGTTCTAACAGGTCACCACACTTTTTGGCACGGTGTTGCTTTAATACTTCATAGATATCATCCTCACTGAGGTCTTGCTTAAAAGCTCTTTTGAATAAACTTCCGATATATCTAAAAACAAAAAGAAATTATTGATAATATTGAATTAATAGGTTTTTTTATATTTACTTAGAAAACTAAGCAAAAAATAAATTGCAGGTTGCAGGTATTTGATTAGGATTAAGTTTAAAATAAGAATTATTTGTAATGATAAAAGTATAGGTTGTTAAAATAAATGCTTCCAATAAGAATTTTACAAAATAGTTGGACACTGAGTTACAATTTTTAATATAAAACGATCATCATCATCAATTAGCCTATATCTGTCCGCTGCTGAACGTAGGCCTCCCGTAAAATTTTCCACCTATTTCTATCTTGAGCTTCTTGCATCCAGTTTGTGGTAATGCGCTTGATATCATCCGTCCATCTAGTCGGTAATCGTCCTGTGCTTTGATACGCATCTTGCCTTGGTCACCATTCCAGAATCTTTCTGGTCCATCTATCATCCGTTAATCTGGCAACATGTCCGGCCCAAGCCCATTTAGCCATGGCTTTTTTTTAACTTCATCTGTGACTCCTGTTCTTCTTCATATTTCTAGGTTTGGTACTACTTTTTACCAAAGGTAGAGGCACTCGAGAACACCTGCTGAATATAAGACAGATAATCGAGAAATCTAGGGAATTTAACATCCCACTATACATCTGTTTTATAGATTACCGCAAAGCGTTCGACAGGGTCAAGTGGAGACACTTATGGCGAATACTAAAAGAAGTAGGCGTACCACAACATCTAATTACGCTTATAACTGAACTATATGAACACACTACTGGATCAGTTGAAGTACTTGACACACTTTCGAACGAATTTCATCCAGAACGGGGTGTCAGACAAGGATGTATACTATCTCCACAATTATTCAACATATATGGGGAGTATATTATGCGAAGAGCACTTGAAGGATGGGAAAAGGGCATCTCAATAAATGGTCATAAACTAAACAACCTACGTTTCGCAGATGACACAGCCCTTCTTGCAAATAGTCAAGCAGAGCTGATAGAACTTATACGACTGATCGAAAACGAAAGTCCAATATTTGGTCTGCAATTAAACATATCAAAGACAAAGATCATGATAGTGGATAGACTACACAACAATCATCCACACATAACCACAATTGACCGGTTCGAGGTTGTGAGCTCATACTTATATCTGGGATCATTAATCACAAACACAGGGTCATTACAAGAAGAGATTAAACGTAGATGTGATCTAGCAAAAGTTGCCACAGCAAAAATGACCAAAATATGGAAGGACTGTCAAATTTCAAGAGCGATAAAGAAGAGGTTGATCAACTGCTTAATATTCCCAATACTGACCTACGGATGTGAATCTTGGACTCTGAGACAATCGGAGAGAAGAAAGATAGACGCCACTGAAATGTTCTGTTGGAGACGAATGTTACGAATTCCTTGGACCGACTGCAGAACAAGTAATTCAATTTTAAGAGAGCTAAAAGTTAGCCAACGACTCTCTAGTAAAGTCCATCTCCAACAATTAAAATATTTTGGGCATGTTATGAGAGCAAACACAGAAAACATAGAAAGACTCATAATACAAGGAAAGGTAGAAGGCCGAAGATCACGAGGAAGATCCCCAACAAGATGGATAGATCAAATTACAGGAATATGCCAAAGACCTATGCATGAATTAAAAGAAATGACCAGAGACAGAGATCTCTAGAGACGGACAATACACGACATCACGTCGACCACTACACTCCCCCTGGGGGGTCAGGATTGAAGATAGAGACTACTTTATCTCTGATGTTAATACCTAATATTGATCTTTCCATAGCGCGTTGTGTAACTCTTATCATATCTATTGTTCTTTTTGTCAGAGTCAGTGTTTTTGCACCATATGTAAGAACTAGTAAAACGCATTGGTTAAAAACCTTTATTTTTAAACAAACTGGGATAAGAGACTTGAAAATGTTATTCAATCTACCAAAGGCAGCTCATGTGAGACCTATCCTTCTTTGTATTTCACTTGTCTTATTATCTCGGCCTTAGCGAATCTCATGTCCTAGATATTTGTAAGCTATTTCTTGGTCGATGCTATGGCTCTCAATCAGAAGACTTTTACCGCTGACTACAAGGTTGGTCATAAATTTTGTTCTTGAGGTGTTAATTTTAAGACCAATTGTTTTTGACACTTTATAGAGCGTGTGCAGCATTTTTGTAGCTTTATCAACTCTATCAGATATTAAAACGATGTCATCGGCAAATCTTAGGTGGTTCAGATCTTCCCCATTTATATTAATTCCCATATTATCTTCTCGTTCCATTCGATCATCAGATGCTATGTACTTTCTACATTATTATACAATGTAGAGACATGGACGCTCTCTGCAGTTTTTTATGAAAGTTTGAGGCCTTTGAGATGTGGCGTTACAGGTGCATCTTACAAATTTCATGTAATAATTAACAACACTACTAGAAAGTAATATTCAAATCCAGAATGAAAACTTCACCTGAAGAGTCGAGATCGAACAGCATTCGATCGGTGTTTATTATCAATCATGACACAAAGCTGCGAACCTTGTATATTAAAGAAAGAGATAATAGCAAAACTTAAAGTCATTCGGAGGTCAATGGAGCAATGTACGTTACATATAACAAAGAGTAATCGCAAAAGAATATAATGAATCGGACAGAAAAACTACGTCACTGACGAAATGCACAAAATCAATTTTATAAAATTGCAGTGGGCGGGACATTTAGCGAGAAGAACTGACATTAGAATTGTATGTGGTGACCAAGAGGCGTCGAGTGAATAAGACGATGTCCAAACTTCAGATGGGACTATAACATAAAGAAACTAGCAGGTTCAACTTGGCACAGAGTAGCGAATATTAGAGAATCGTAATGAAAGCTGTATTATCATCGGTAGAATACGTTGAAAATTTTCGAAGATAATAAAATTTGGCACACGATAAAGAAATATAAAAATTAATACAGATAAATGAAGATTAATATTATTCCAAAAAGAAATAAAAGATAATTGTATCAAAATACACATTTTTTCTGGCCTTCTTGCACCCATTAAAGATGTGTTTTAACTCTACTACTGGTTGTTTGTTCATGTTGGAACCATTTATATTAAATTTAGGAAAATATAATAAAAACTTACGCGAAAGTAACTAGAGAGAATATATTGGCGGTCTCTCTTGGATTAGTTTTTTTCTGTTCTTTTCTGCAGTGATCCATTTTCAAGTTGCACAAACAATGTAACAATACGAACAATACGAAATTGAAAAATATCTTATCACGAAGAGGTAAACATTCTTAAACTACTTTATTTTTATAATGAGAGTTGTAGATGTCATTTTTAGTTTGATACAATTATTACTAATCAGTTTAAATATTTGTTTTGAGTGAAAATGCAAATCACCTAATGTTTTTCTCTTTTTATTAAATATCTAAATTAATATTTAAAGTAGGGGTATTTATGTAATAAAATTGGCAAGGTTAGGGAAAAAAGATAGAGACTGAATATGTTTTATTATACTTTTTCTTTGCAATTTATTCTAAGAAGTTTGTGAGCATTTAATATTTTATTGTATCTGGACCATTCATCATTGTCAGTGATGCTACAGCCCTAGTTGAACCTCAACCTTTTCCAGTATATTCCTGTCCTGTTATTTCTAAGATTTGACGTAGCACAAAAATCCATTCAATTGTTCACCTTTTTTTTTCGTCTTTATAGAGGAGGGTCTGGAATCTTCAAAAGACATCTCAGTCTAGGACGCCGCCTGACTAACCTTAGTACAGGATTCGTTCTTCGTACTCCCGGCGATAGTTCCCAAGGTACTTTAAAATGCCCTCTCGTCGCTGAGTCTACGCCGAACGCCTACCTGCTAAACCAGACCCTCCTCTGTCATCCAGCGATCCGGAAGCGGAATGGCCGCTGTAAGGCTGGCATCACTGCCGAAGCACTACCTTTATTCATTCATTCTCCATTCATACACATCCACACTCTATTCATCAGCAAGGAGGCTCCCTGTCTCGTTCCAGGTAATGCGTAGAAGACCCTTATCGCTCCTAGTTTGGCATCATTCCCAGACGAGCATTTCCTCCTTCCCCACTCACGAATTCTCACGCATTCTAACTTGACCAGTGTGACCCACTGTTCTAGCTTCACCTTTCAGCATAATTCATTTGCCGTTGGTCCAGCTCTCTTTCTTCCTCTTCCTTTTTCTTGATAACTGTACGGATATAGCTACGTATATTAATCCAACCTAATTTATTTTCAATCATTCTCTCAATCATTTCTGTCACTGTAACAAAATTCACACCTGTCTCTCTCTCCATTCTGCTCCTTTCCACTATCCATCTGCTGTAATCTAACATCGTATGTGTCACAGTTTCCGAGTATCCACAGTATAGGCATTCATCTGTATCAGCCTTTCCGATCCTATAGAAGTAGGCCCTAAAACACCCGCGTCCTGTGAGCATCTGCGTCAGGAAATAATCCAGTCGCCTGTGGCCACAGTTCACTAAAACTCTTATGTTCGGGATCAGCATTTTCGTCCACTGTGCTACATCCTCCGTGTTGTTCCATTCTTCTTGCCATCTTTCAACTGACCTTTCCCTTACCTGTCTTCTCTCAGCCACAGTAAAATTTGGGCCTCTTCTCTCATAAAGCTCTTTTCTTTCCACCGTCAAAACATCGGAACACATCCAGTGATGGTCCATAAGGCTGCCGCAGACACAGTCCTGTAAGCGTATGCCACTCGCAACAGACTTGTTCTGTCTACTCGTTTCATTAGACTCCTATAGGCCGTTATCTCTACCGCCTCGCTCCAGACTGGTGCCGCCTAGAGGACGATAGACTATACAACACCGTGTAAGACCCTTCTTTTTTCGGATTTGAGTCCTCCAATGTTCGGCATCACCCTCCCCAACGCAGCCGCACTATTCGCAGTTTCGCAGTCGACAATTTCGGACCACCTCTCGTCACCCTTCTGATGCAATGTCACTCCTAGATACTTTATTTGTTTCTTGTGTGTTAGACATACTCCCGCACATTTTAATTCAACACCTTGCCTGTTCCTTGTCCCCTTCAAAATGATGGCTTCGGTTTTCTCTGTCGCAAGTTTTAGTCCGTGCTGAATAATCCATTTCTATACATTTCATTTTACAATTATTCAATTGTTCACCTACTTGGGCTAAAACTGCTTTGATAATCACCAAGGAGTTCTTCCACGTACGTAGGCAAACGGCTGTACAGGATGTTGGAGAATTACAATTATATCGATGTTTATACCCCATACTATTTACATTCCAACAAGTCTCCCTTTTGTGCAGTAGAAGTATGATTCCAGAGCACGATTCCTCTGGCATTTATTTTTATTCCCAGACTTTGACAACTATGCTGTGAATTTGATGTATAATGCTGTTACTTTTATGTTTGATGAGCTCTGCGGAGATGCAGCCCAGTCTTGGGGACTTTCAGTCTTTTGGGTGACACATTATTTTACACTTTAGTACCAAGTAGTTCTTTAAAGTGCTCAATCCATCTGCTCTCTACTGTATCACTGGTATTAACTGTACATCCATTTATTTGTATTATTTTTTCTTTTACTGATATCTTCACATTCATCATCGAACCAACTATTGGGCGAAGTGGGTCCTTCTGGTCGTAGTACGTCATTTGTAGCTTCCTTAATTGTTTTTCTACATCTATCCTATTGTTTCCTAGCTGTTGAATTCCAATCTATTGATCTATTGTTTTTTTTTTTCAAAGTAATTTTGATACCTTCCTATTGTGCAGGGCTCTGAGGTTTAGGTTGTAGCCAATCCTTCTCTTGCCTTTTTCTGTTTTTGCATTTGAGATTCTTGCTCTTTCTTTGTACCTACCAAAGCCTGCCTGATTATATATTACTCCCGCGATAATACGTACAACCATTAGATTAGAGCAGTGCCCAGTTTCTATTAGGATCTATTTGATTTTTTGTTGTTTTATCAAACGAAGGTCATGTTACTTTATAGATATTCTTATGGGGAAAGCAGGTACTTCCATCGACCATGTCCTTGGAAGCTGCATCTATTATTCTATTTCCATTGTCGTTGGTGAGTTCATGAGCACTGTATTTTCCGATCTATGGTCCATATATATTTCGTTTCCCTATTTTTGCATTAAGAATCTGGACCATTGTCTGGTTAATTCTATTTTCAAAGTAGGTTCTGCTTCTTGGCCTTGGTAGATAGATAGATAGGCTTGGATATATTTTTTGATCTTTTAAGTTCTTTCTTGATATCTGTAAATATTTTTTTATTTATTGATAACCAGTATAATTGATGATCAGTATAATTGCTTCTTATAGTGTTTTTAACCGTTATTTTTTTTAAATTCTATGATTTGTCATCATTTTTATTATGAATTTTCTTTGTATTGAACCCTCCTCATTTTGATAATGTTGATCAATTCTCGCTCTTTGTACATAGACTCTAGCACATGTTCGTTAGATATGTGTGCAGTCCACGGGATTCTGTGCATGCGACGGTAACATAACAACTCGAACGCTTCTAATTTATTAAGATTTATTTTTTGTTGTCCAGGTTTCCCATCCATAGCACAAAGTGGACCAGACGTTGTACTTTAATACTCTTAGAAGTGTGGTCTTCTACGTCTTCTACGTCTTAGACTTCTACTGCACAATAAAGAACGCTAGATAATAAAGCTTTTTGTATAAATTCCAGTCTGGTCGAAATGTTCTCGTCACTTGCAACTCTGCAGTCAATCCCTACCCAGATATCTAAAGTGGTCCACCGTTTCCAGGATTTTGTTATCTAATTTTAGTATTGAGCCTTCGATATTAATTTATACGACAACCATCCATTTTGATTTCTTTGCGTTGATTGTTAAATCCTGTTCAGTGCGTTTATTGTTTACATGGTTCAACAGGGTTTGAAGTTCTTATATGGTATCTGCCATTATGGCGGTGTCATCTGCGCATTTGATGTTATTAATAACTTTACCACGGCATTAAACAACTTTGGTGACATAACATATCCCTGTCTGACACCACGTTTAATAGACACATTAGCTGAAACCTCTTAATCCACGTTAATACAACCGGTCTGATTGTAGTAAAGATTTTTGAGCAAACTAATAGCATACGCATCCAGACGAACTGAGTCCAGGTATTGAAATAGTGGAGTATAGTATTGAAGCGATAGTAATAAAATAGTAGTCCAAGTATTGAAATAGTAATGTGGTACTCTATCAAAGGCTTTTTCGAAATATATAAAACATACTTAAATATTTTTCTAAACTAAATGCTAAACAAAAACACCAGACAGAAGGAAAGTTTCTTAAGATTTGTATATAACATCAATTATTATCTTATAACAAATATTTTGGGTGTATAAGTAAATTAGCATTTATTTAAAAATCAACAATAATATTTATATTGAAATTAAATTTGTATTTATACTTAATAAACAATAAGATAAGCTAGTCGACACATTACATCATTAAAATAGTTGGTTTTCGATAGCCCAAACACAAACTTTTTCCGCCGTTAACACTAGGTCATATTTTAAACAGGGTCGGAGGTGTAGAGACGTTTTTATCCAGAATGCATAGTTTTTTTACAATATTGAATTTTTTTTTAGTTTTTGTATTAAATTTGCAAATTTACAATCTGCTATTACAAGCTATTAGTAAATGCAAATACATGAGAGGAGAAATTATCTATTGATAACACTCCCAATACTAACACTAACAAATTAAATTATTGTAGGATTATAATTTAAAACTAAAATTGAAATCAAAATTGAAATTAAAATTGAAATTAGTGAATAAAGTTTGTTAGCCGCTGTCTCTTCAATCTTCGTCTGACTTCTGGTTGGAGGTGCAGTTGTCTTGCTTCCTCGTTGGGGTAGACTGGAAGATGTTTTAAATAATTTCTTGTTAGTCTGATGATTTCGTATCAATTTTGTTATATTCAAGAAAGTTAGTAACTTCTGTGTTATGGTTGCCTAGGCCGTTGGCATTCCATTGTGCAATTCGTAGTGACTTAAGTTCCATTACTGAATTTATTTATTACTGTGGAAAGTATGTTTAAGATCACGCTATTTTGATTTATTAGTTGTAAAAACATAGCTTTGAATTCGTAAAGGAAATTCTTCATCATCTTTCCAATGTCACTGTTTATATTACTTACATGTTCCACTTGTTATTTGAGCGTAAGTTGCATGATTTTGGTTGTATGAGTTCGTA